TAGTGACATTCATCGTCTTTTCTTAACACTGAGCCGTTCGTGGAGACCTATAGGCAATTTTCGATGCCTACACACCACACCACTATCGAGTTTCTCAAAAGATGCAAACCAATCTCTTCGGAGAGTCACATGATAAGTAGCACCACAATTCAACATCCAATCCAATGCTTCTGCATGGTTAATCTTTAGAGTAATCAATAGAGAAAAGCATGAATCGTCAGAATCGTTACAACTCTTAACAACATTTACATCACTGGCCTTTAGGCCCTTCTTCTTGCTATTCTCCTTCTCTCTGAGCTTCAGGCAATCTATCTTCCAATGTCCTTATTCTCTGTAGAAAGCACACTGATTTTTCACAATTTGATAGTGGCCTCTTGACTTTGACCTGCCTCGATTACTACCTCTAGGATAGGAACTCATTCCTCTTGTCGACAATGCTTCTCCTGAAGTGCTAGCTCTGAAAGACTCTTTATCCTTCCTCCTCAAATCGAAATTCATCAATGTATTATTCACTTCACTATAGGTGATGAAAGATCTATCATTCAACAAAGTAAGCACAAATGTATCAAAATTCTCATCGGGTTAATGAGCCTAACAAAATGATCGTCTTGTACTCATCCGATATATTCTCATCAATATTCGCCAAGTATGACAACAAATTTGTATAGTTGTTCACATGCTCTGCAAGTGAGGTACCTCTTGACATCTTGAATCTGAATAATCTCTGCAGCAAGTGCAACCGATTCTCAACACTCTTTGTAAGATACTTGTTGTTAAGAACCCATCACATCCTCATCGCAGACGTCATACCAATCACATCGTATTTCAACTCTTGTTCTAAACAAGGTCTAATTACCCGACATGCATTTTGATTCATCTTGTCCCATATCGTCTCATCATATTTAGGTGGCCTCTCATGAGTCATTATCACCTCTTCCAAGTTTTGAGCATTCAAAGCATCCTACACATCACTCATCCACAACCAAAAATTGATTTTGTCATCATATTTCACAACACTAATTTTCGTATTCTGAAGTACAACCTGAACTGTACTCTACGCAGCCTTGCTATTTTCACTACTTTCTCCTGTCATTGCTTACTAACTCCAAATTGTAGAGGAAATATTCAAAGTTGATAGAGTTGAGAAATCACCCAAATTAAACCCTAGATAGTATTCCAACACAATCTCCCAACCACACGAGGAAGACGAGATCTTCAATGGCAACTCTGCAATGCTATCTTTACCGAAACCTAGATCTTCAAGATCCAAGCTTCCAACACCGAGTTTCCTCCACCCAAATCAAACCCTAGATCTGAAATCCATCTCTGATACCACTTGTTGCATCTAGCGGAAGCGGACTCAATCCATAACAAGTCGATAAGCAACGCGAAAAGATCACCACACGCACAATTCACAATAAAAACGACCAAAACCAATCACAAACATAGAGAACTTACGTGGTTCGGCAAGTTGCCTATGTCCACGAGGAGAGAATGGGGGAGATTTCACTACATGGAGGAGAAAACAATGAGTTATAACTCTCTCAAATAGTCAAAATAACTCTAACCAAAAGATCTCACTCCCTCATAATAATCTCCCTCTCAAAGTGCTCAAAACAACATCTTTTCTCTGTTAAATCTCTCTCAAAGTCCTAGAAAACACGCTTCTATTTATATAAACAACCCAAACTAAAACATGCTAAGAATTAGATTTGGTCCAATACTCACTATTGGTCGACCAATGCACCCCTATCGCTCAGCTAGTAGGTCTTCATCAGTTGACCACCGATAAGGATGCATCGGTCGATTGTCCAGTGCGATTTTCAGCTCCTGTATGGTGCATGATATCGATCGACTGGTTTGACCCACCAGTCAACTGACCAGAGAGCATTTGCCAGTTTCGATTTTTCCTGTAATTCGCACCCTCTTTCAACAAGGACATATTTGGAATTCTTAAATGAAGCTCACGTGACTAAAAAAGGAGCTTTCTATAAATAATAGTGATAGAATTGATAATTAATTATTAAAAATATAGCTAATCCCTCTTTGACATATAAAAAGAAATTGGTGGTCTTTCTAAAGACACAAAAAATTGACATGTATCACATTATAAAATAGACATGTGTCCCCCTAGTTTTATTTTCACCTAAGAATCCTCATCAAGTTAAAACAACCTATAATTAAAAATTCTAATAATTAAATACTTAATAAATCCTAATGAAAATATAACTATCCATAATCAAAAATCACATGATAATATATTTAACGTATAGAATTATGTGTAGAACTTAAAGATGTCACAGGTTGCAGGGATTTAGTGATAGGATTAGGTTAGGTCTTTGATTAGGTTTATTTAAAAGGAAATTGTGGTGAGGGTTTGTGTGCAAAATGCACATGAAGTTGAAGCAACGTCAAGCGTGGGCATTGTTTGGATATTTGGTTAACGTTTTCTTCTTCTTCTTCTTCTTCTTCTTCTTCTTCTTTCACTTTATTTTTTATTTTTTTATAACCCTACATTAGGTTAATTTTAATTAGACCTACATACATCTTAAATTAAAGGCAGGTGATAATTAATAGATAAGGTTGCTAATATGATTAGAATTTAAATTCATAATCCCATCTCATAATAGAGGGAGGGGATAGGTACGTTAGTTCTTAAGCTACCGAATTTTTAATTTTAAAATTTGAAATAAATGTCATTCATATCCTTATTTTGAATTTCTGGTTATCTACTATTTATATGCTAATATTCATAAAAAATATACGAAAAAAAAACAAGGAGGAGTTCTAAGAAAAAAATTTCACTGTAATTTAATTTAAAAGCACATTCAAATGACCAAAGAAGTAACTCATTGAGACCACATAGATAAGATAACGAATTATAAATAAAATAAATCAAACCTCTGATCTTCCAATCTAATGGTGTGGGTTTAATTCACGCTACCCATTCCATATTCCTTTTTCTACATATAACATCAACCATGCCAACACGGGCAAAACACTTCTACTACTTCTACTTAGGGCTCGTTTGGATGGACGTAACTATTAGAAGTAAGAAGTGAATCAAAGATATAACTTGCTCAATTATGAAGTAGAAAGTAGCGGAAGTAGTACTTATTTTGTTTGTTTCATATATTTTTAGAAGTAGAGAAAGTAGCGGAAGTAGTACTTATTTTGTTTGTTTCATATATTTTTAGAAGTAGCGGAAATAGTACTTCATCATCTTCTTATATTTTTAGAAGTAGCGGAAATAGTACTTCATCATCTTCTTTTATTTATTTGTTTGTTTGGATAGAAATCAGATATATTATTTAAGATCATCCGTCCTTGATAAATCTCTAATTGAAGTTGACCCCACTTTTTATCCACTTTCCTTTCACTTCTGAGCTTTCAAGGGCGGAAAAAAAAATTTAGAAAGTAGGAGTATCACCTAGACGTCACATCTGTATTTATGGAAGTAGCTGAAGTAGTCTTTTCGGAGAAACAAACATAATTTTTTGCTTAAAGTAGGAGAAACTTCCTCTACTTCAATTACTTCTTTGCTACTTTTGTGCGAACAAACAGGCCCTTAAGTAAGATTAGGTATTAAATCCAAGGTAGTGAAACGAACAACCCCAAGACGTTAAACATATAAATTATTTATTTTCTTAAGCATATACTTAATCTCCCTCCCTCACCCACCAATGCGAGTCTTATCAAATACGTATATAAAGAAATTTTATTGTAAAATGAACATAGGGTACTTTTTCACATTCACATATGTAATTCGACTGTGCTCTTGGATGATTTGAGGAGATATTTAAGAGTAAATTCCATTTCCGAGAAATTAATCTTTCCACTAATTACCACAAAACTCGCAAAACCGGAACCTCCACATTCCCCAAAATGATTCTTAAAACTCGCAAAGTCGGACTCCTCTTTGCGCCTAAAATGATTCTTTGACCGTTTACTATGTCCATGACATTCTTAGTTGGATTTTTTTGTTGGTGGTTTGGCGAGGTAGCTTCCCCCTTCAAACTATAGGCATCAAACCTCCGGACGTTGTAAAGGGGTACCCCCAACACAGAACATGATGTATTTTACGAAATTAAATTTGTGTGGGTGCATTTAGGAGAGTTGAACTTAAGACCTTGGAGTACTACTTATAAGCATGTTACCAACTTGGCTAGACCCTCCTAGATGTACATTCCGAGTTGATTAACTTATAAGTACAATATTAGCTGAAGGCTAATTTTACATAACCCCTAAAGTTTGGCCCGTTAGAGATAGACCGTCTAAACTTTATAAATGTCACTTAACCCCAAAACGGATGAAGGCTTGTCACGGGAATGCACGCAGCCAAACCAAAGGCCCCCCCCCCCCCACCCCACCCACCGCACCTCCAAGCCAAAAAAAAAGAGCGGAACCCCAACCCAAAAAAAATCCCCAGTTTTTTCAATGTACGCTTTCAACATTATTGCTTGAAAAAAAGGCCAAAATTTTTTTCAAGATTAGTTTTAGAAAATCCAAGCTTTCAAAACCCCCTTGAACTTCTAATGAACTTACTGAAAACCATGTAGGACGTTGGGAGGTATGTTTAAAAAACTGCAAATGCTCTGTGAATTATATGACAAACCCCCACGTCTAGCTAGCGGGTTAAGTGACATTCATAAAGTTTAGAGGAATATCTCCAATTGGGTCCTTTAATTAGGGGGTTACGTAAAATATTCCCTTAGTTAAAAGACCCTAACACATAGAATAATCTCTTGATTATTTTCATTTTTTGTTGTATTAATTAAACTGTTAAAGTATGCACACGCATGCATGTGTTCCGCAAGCAAGATGATCGTTAGAACACAATTCTGACTCCAAGAGCCCTACATATTAGGAGCTAATTAGGAGTCCAACGGTGTCCAACAACCATCAAAATGTACCTGTTTCAATCAAGATCAACAAAAAAAACATAACTTTTAAAAATAAGAAACATTATAGTGTTTAGATGTGTATATATATATATATACCTCTTAAATACTGAAGGAGAGTGAGATGAGCTAGCCCATCTGGCAAGACTCTACGAGCACCATTAACATACAAGATAGCCTC